AAATGACAGAATAGAAACGATGCGAATCACGTTGTGTATGTTCGCCATGCACTCTGAACTTGAAATTAATGCGAGTTTTCTCATAAAACTAAAAGCATGAACCAAACTAACATGCCAATCACGATTATTATGAAATGAAACACACCTTTTACACGCATATTTTAAAGAATATCGTCGACGCCCAGTAAAAACACTCTGGGCTTATAATCGTGAATGCCCTCAACTCGATAAATACCAAGTAAAAACATAGGGATGGGCTTCATACTCGGGAGGGGCTTACGATCGGGGAAGTACGGTACTTTAACGCAATTGGGCTTTCACTCTCAGAATACTGTGGTTCAAACGCATAAGGCTCTAACCCAAGTTTTAAAAAGCACATTGTGCATATAAAAGTTGAGTTTATACTAATAGTACACAATGCTTGGCAGCATGAACGGCTATGTACAATGGCGTATACGAATGCGATCAGATACTAAAACGTCATAGCTTTGAAAAGTACCCGGATGTTAAATATGTTCGTTCGTTAATTATTCCCCTCCATGAATGGCCTCCATGGCAAGCACTTCAAATGTCTATCCAAGCTACAGTTATAATTAAAACAAAATTAAACCACTGCAATATTATTTCGAATACAGTTTAGAATATACACAACTATAAATTAAGGCCGCATTTAGGTTCGCTTTAATGTAAAACGTAAGTATACAGTGTATGCTATGCTCTCAGTGTCCTCATTTTGGCCGTTTGACATAAGAAATGTTTTTTTTTAACTAAAACATTACAGCTATACATTTGTTGTTTTGTATTTGTTTGTAGGACTTACAACAGTTCTGTCAATCATCTTAAGAACCAGCTGTATGCTGCATTCCAGGAAGTCTTATTAGATCATGCTAGACCACTGTGTTCACACTATGGTGCTATAGTAGGACTCATGGCACTTGGACCAAAGGTAAAGCAGTGTTATTTGACAAGATTAAAAAAAATTATTATATGTTTAGATATTTAGAGTAGTAATAATTCCCACTCTAACTTGCAGCATGTGAACCTAAAAGCGTTAGACAATCATACAAAAATTTACTTTTTACTAAGGTACATAAAGTACGTTCAAGGTCTTCACTTTTCCATAGCATAAACATGGTTTTCATCCTCACTTATTATGACACCCTTAAATATGAGTACCGTTAAAGTCCTATTATAAACCGCGGTTTATATTACAATGTATCAATTTAAAAATTGGGATCAAAAGCTCAAGTTCGGGGTGCGGTTTCTATTACGTACATATTGCAATCACTAAATGGGCGTGGTCATTTTTTGTCCACAACACATGCACAAAACAAACAATACACCGTACAATCTCTTGAATAGGCGTCGGGGAAGAGTGAAAGGCCTTATTTTGGTTCTAAAATAGGCGTTACGAAATGTTGAAAAATTACAGTCAATCAAAAAAAAATTCTACATGATACAAAAAATACTCAGTATTTTTAATGTAATATGCATTTAATTTTTTTAATTTTCTTGGTAACGAAAAGTATATTCTAACAGAAGTTTCAAATAAAAACACGAATGCACTGCTTAGTAGCAAATGATCACATAACGGTAGCTCGATCCGGCCATGCTGCTGGTCACAAGTGAATAACTTACTTGTTTTCGAAGTGTTGATATTGGTGATTATTATTTAGTAGTGATTACAATAACGCACGAAAAATAAATTCGTTGAATTGTTATAAAATGCAAGTAAAATTCAACTTAGTTTCCCCATAAGCGAATGATTTCAGTCGCATGTAAACAGCCGATACGATATCCGCCATGCTTTTGAATGCTCACTGACGTATTATTGACCGGATAGG